AACATGTCTTAATAGGACAAATGCATGTCTATTTATATTATACAAAATAATCCTAACTAACTTGCTAATTTCACGGTGGGCTATAAGACTAAGTCAAGGCCCATGCGATGGGTCATATGACTAAGTCAAGGCCCATCATTCTGGGCCCGGAGGCAAGTTCCAAGCTTGAGACTTTTCTTGGACTATTCGGGTTATACATTCCCAGACCCCAGGTCTCTATTATTATTGAGTCATTTTCAATATATTCATCAGGGGTAAAAATTGAGCTGACATTTTGGTAATATTTTCAACACTAAAAGTACACTTTTCAACACTATACCATGCATTTTTTGTCAGTTTAAAAATATAGTGCACTTAAGAACGTGTTTTAGAGCTTATAATTTATGGAGTACGTAGTTTTTTTGGTTTAATTTAGTATTTCACTTTTTAGCTTCGTTTATAGGCTCACTTTTACTATTTATGGTTTAATATTTACGATTTAGGTTTTAGATTTAATTTTTTGGTTTAAGGTTTTAATGTTTATCCATAAATGCACTCTATATGGTTAAATTTGTACTTTATAGTGTTAAAATTTTCACACTTACAATTTATTCAAAAAAATCACATATAACTTCATGATGTTACAACAATTGATCGATTACACACACATATATGGGCACGCATGTTTATATTGACAGCAATAGTTATCACTGGCATGTCTTTATTAGTTTTTAATTATATATTTCGTACTATATTTTTCTGTATAAATACACTAGTTGTTTTACGCGCTTTGCGCAAATGAAATAATGCCCAATGATTTTTTTAAATAAGTATTTCAAAGTATATCAGTGCAATATTATATCGGAGATGTTCATGCATAGGTAAATAAATTAAATATTGAATTTGTTTATTTAAATCGGTAATTTAAAGTATATAAATGTAATATAATATATGAGAGATTGATTATATTGTCACTAAAATAAATGTTTGCAACTTTGTAATAACGCTGGTCTAAATATTTAGTCTAAAAACGATAGTCTAAATAAATACTACTTTTGGTTTAAATTTCTCTAATTCTTATTAATTTTTTTGGGGGTAGCATTGTTATTGTCTTCATCTTCAGTACATGTCCTTTTTTTTTTATTGGTAATGTGTCATGTGCAATTAGGTTACTGGTGGTAGCATAGATGGATTCATCGTGCAATGAAATTATGGTGTAGGAAGCTTTAGATTTGCCTTGTTGTGTGTATATGATGAGATCTTAGTTGTACTATTAACTCTTTAAATCTTACAAGCACTTATTGATATTTGGTAGTGATAGTTTTTCCCTTATATGTTTCATGCGTTGTGATATGTGTGTCGTAGGTTATCATGTGAAAGTATTGAACAAAATATTAATATTTATTATATTTATATAAAATACTTGGCAAATATATATATATATATATATATATATATATATATATATATATATATATATATATATATATATATATATATATATATATATATATATATATATATATATAACATATTTTGTATTATAACTTTAATATTTAATTACAAGATAATGTAAAAAGAAGACAATGAACCATGTAGTGAATATAATAAATTAATAAATTTATTAATTAATTGTTTTGAGAGTTTGTCAATGACAATTGTTACAATTCTTGTCAATAGAGGATGATAATAAATAATTCAAAATATATAGTTACAATAGATATTGTTATAATGATATAGTAAACATTAACTTACAAATTTCTTTAGAAGTTTTCATGCATTGATAAAAGTCTAATGTGTAAACTTGTTCAATTTGAGCCAGTGGGATGTCGACATTGTCAATTCTTTGGAAAATGGTCCTACCGTTTTAGAGTCCAGGTGTAATTGTATTTATGATCAACAACTTTGTAGTTAGGTCGCGCATGTCTGACAATGATGTAAGAACAATTTTCTCCGATAAAAAAATAATAGTATAATATTTGTAAAGTAATGTACAATTGTACCATTATAAAAATACATACAAAAAATATTAATACCATAACGACCTAAATCATACCAATAATGCAAAAGTATAATTGAAATATTAAGTTTTGTTGTGATCTAAATAATCAAAAAGAAGATTAATTAAACGAAAAAAATAAACTTAACCTAATTTTTTTTTAAATGCATAAAAATTAAATGGTTTTTAAAATTCTTGATTTATAATCTTTGATGCTTAACTTTGAATGTTATGTATTTAGTCGGACTAATTATTTGACCAAAGTTTATGTTCAATTTTATATTATATATATATATATATATATATATATATATATATATATATATATATATATATATATATATATATATATATATATATATATATATATATATTAATACATTTTAACATATTCGTAGTAGATGTTTAAATTATGCCAACTCTAATTGGGATGGGGTTCGAACTTAAGACCTTTCTTATAGAAATTAATGAGTAAGTTAAAAATAATAAATAGTTAATGGACCGTTACTAACATTTATACTAACGGAATTTAGGTTATTTAAAGGAAGAAAATAATATAATAGAGGGTAAATAAGGAAAATCATTAAAAAAAATACTAAAATCAAAATAATATGAACCATTCATTTTAAGAAACAATACTACCAACATTTTTTTGTTCCAATTAAGAGCCTAACATTATTGGCTCTTATTAAAATTGTAGATAGTGAAGTATTATAATTTAATTTTTTTTTTGAAAGTTATTATAATTTAATTTATTTTAGTATTAAATACATACATGAGATAATAATTTTTGTACATCCCCGGTAAATATAAATATAAATGTTCAGTTGACACAATTTTAATAATTTACAAATAAAATCATGAAATATTTAAGATGAATACTACACAAATTTTAATGTCACATTCTAAGATAAGGAGATTATTGCATTTGAACTTATGTTTTTTTTTTTTTTCAAATTTTGCTCTTTTGTAGCCTAATATTTGTTCTTCAATATTTATTGCAAGGGATGGAGAATTGGGAGGAAAATAGGACTTTAAACTTTTGTAAATTGTGATTTTACATATTTATTTCTACTTAAATAATTTTATTTTTGTATTTATACATTTGACTCTCATTTATTAAATTTAATGCTTAATCTAAAATTTTATATAATATTTTTTTTAAAAAAAAAATTAATGGTGTCAATTGACACCACTCTATTGCACTTAGGCACTTAATTAGCTTCGTCCTTGTATTGACAAATGACAACAATATTTATCACAAGTATCCTTAACTGAATCAGATACATAAAATGAGACAGATGGAGTAATTAATAAGATAGGGATAACCATCACTAATACTTCAATAAAATTAATAATTACTACGAATTACTTCAATTAATGGACATTAATTTCTTGACTTTATACCAATGCAAAACCCCTTAAATTATTTTATCAACTCAACAAAACTTTCATTGATGAAGTTTATCCTTGATTATAGTTAGACAAGTTTTTCATCCTAAATTGTCCTTTGTGACACATTCATATATATCCTACAGAAGTTTATAGAAAATTAAACCTCCAATACATATGATACACTCCTTAAACCTTAAAATTCTTAAATAGATTGACACGATTATGATACAAATACAATATAATAAGTCTAAGCATAGAAACACAGTCTATTAAAATTAACAAGTCAATACCATTTTTAAAAAAATTGACACAATAATAGACACGTTTAAATAACAAGTATTGGATTAACGTAACAAGATAATTGATTTAAACCAGTTAGACTTGTTAATACGGATTTTAAAAATTAAAAAATAAAACTCTATAAAAAGCTAAAATAAAAATCTACAATTTAATCCCACAAAATAGAAAAATATTCAATTCATAATGTACCCATAATATTTATAAAATGATAAAATAACATCCAAAAAATATAATTATCACGCTAATATTAACCAGTTGAACATGCTGACCATTAACCCATGAACCCCAACAAGTCAACCCGTAAACGACCTAGATCATATTAAGACTAAGCTAAACACTAACACATTATTTTGACATTAAAATGTATATATATATATATATATATATATATATATATATATATATATATATTGCCAGGTTCCTGTGTGGACAATGTTTCTTGTGCGATTGTGCGGTCATGCACCATTAGGTGTGGTGCATTTGTGCATTTTATTCTGGTGCATTTTTGAACACTGTGTGGTACATTTATACATATCTAACGGTGTAATTCGCACCGTCCGCACGAGAAGCCCTGTTCTCATTTGAACAAGTATATATATATATATATATATATATATATATATATATATATATATATATATATATATATATATATATATATATATATATATATATATATATATATATATATATATATACACACACATACACATTAGGTCTACCCAAAGTAGCCATCCGTACATACAATAACCTACAACAGCCCCATACTAGTTGATACCATACAGTAATAACATGACTCAAAGATGTAGAATATAATAAGCAGCATCAAAGTGCTTCAATTCAATTCTGTCAATATGAATTCTCAATCTCTCATAAAGTAATAAAATGTTCTATACATACTGTTCGTATGTTGAGCAGTATATATGTATATATCAAAAGTTCTTCACCATTTAATGTAATTCATGATATTTACATCCATTATTTGTGTGTTTAATTTATTACTAATATATAACATTAAAAATTTATTAGATGAAAGCTAGGATATATATGATGCAATTAATTGTAATTAATGGGTGAACTAACCTAGAAAAATGGGAGATGTGACGACTTTAATTACCTCATCAAATAATGTTCTATGTATTTGATGCATGTAACTGTTAAGCTATGGTTGAATTGTCAAACTGAGAAAAAAAAAAAAAACAAAAACAAAAACAAAAAACAGAAGAAGAAGTAGATCAAAAGATATATGTATATTCCAGAACATACACACATGATGTTATCTTTAATTTTTTTTTTTTTTGTTTTTATTAATAATTAGCATATGAAATTAAACTAAGATTACAACATTACTTTGATTAATCACTGACCTGTTGTGGGTTTGGATAGCTGCAAATCCTTCCTAGATAGCCTTCATTTCGTCACAATAATCTTACCAAAATACAATACACAAATGATAAATTCTTGACCTCTAAATCAATCATGAAACTAAAGAAAACCCATATATCCATCCACCTGGAGATTAATTAATGTTCATCTTCTGATTATCTATCTACCATGGAGTTTTAGTATGGAATGAAGAAGAAGAAGAAGGTTCCTGGAATTGATTATTAATAGTATTATCGGCTTCTACTTCTTCATTGCTAATACCTCTTTCTTGATTTGCTCGCTGCTCCCCTTCCTGCTCTCTATATCTCTGCAAGTACCGCTTCAGCGGCGGCGCGTAGTCGTCGAATCCCAGCGCCGCCATCGCCCAGCAGATGTCGTCGCCGTTCACCGTCTTCCGCCGCTCCTTCCGGCACTTCTCCGACGCCTCCCCCGTCACGAACCCTATGAACTCCGACACGCACTCCTGCATTGTCTCCTTCGCGTCTTTCGACACCTTCGCGTTCGCCGGCAGCGTCTTCTTCATGATCCGCCCCACGTTCGCTATCGGCACCCACCGGTCTTGCTCCCGGAAACTCTCCTCCTCGTTCGCCGCCCCCGACTTCTCCCCCATCTCCATCTGCTCTTTTTTCTTTTCAATTTTCAACTACTTAACCTATTTTAATTAAAAGAGTAGTGTGGCTTTAGTCAAACCATTTTTCTTACTTATCATCTCACTAATATAACTCAATGGTAACCATAAATTGAAATTTATACCTTTAACTTTCGCTCTCTCTGAAGACGGGAACCAAAAAGATCTAATTTAACACCAGGTCTCTGATCCAACTTTTCTCTTCTGGTTTCTATAGATCTGAACGAACAGTCAAGTCTATAAATTGAAATTTATACCTTTAACTTTCGCTCTCTCTGAAGACGGGAACCAGAAAGATCTAATTTAACACCAGGTCTCTGATCCAGCTTTTCTCTTCTGGTCTCTATAGATCTGAACGAACAGTCAAGTTTAAGGTTAGGTTTAGATCACTGAACATAAAAGCTAGACAGCCATTTATAAAGTTTTAAAACGGGTATAAGTAAACAGTAAATTAACCTAACTTAGTATAGATAAGTAAACAGTAAACTAACCTAACTAATTAAGTAGGATAGATAGATTATATTGAGCATGCAACTTTAACTTTAATTTCACTCTACTATACCCTTTTTACTTTATTCAAAGGTGGTGGAGACTACCCTAACACTACTACAAGGTGTAAAGAATTGGCCTTGGGGGAATGGAAATTAAGCTAGATAGGCCATATCCCAATTGGTAATATAATTGGTGTGTGATTTGGGGAAATTGGAAAAAAATAAAAAATAAAAATGGATGGGCATGTGGAGATGCCGACCGGGTCAGCATCAATGGTGGGGTTACTGATAACCACTCGTGCCACATTCATTGGAGGACTCAAAATTAAATACAATCATTCAAATGTATGGATGTTGACAAGGTGGCTAAGTTTTTTCAAGTTTGGATAATTTTTTCCTAACACTTTCCTCATTTCATTTGATTCTAGGGAGGGTGGGAGGGCTTGACATGAAATCTTGAATCTTCTTGCATAAGATGCTCCCCACATATAGTGCTCATTACACTTAATTACATTATTAGTTTCTATTTAGTATACTGTATGAGTGATTTAATACCCAAAATGATCTTCAACTATAATCGTTTTTCTTAATATCGTTCTAAACAATTTTGGTGACCTAATGTAGTATCAGACTTTTGTGTTTTTCTCAATTTACTCATATGTTTGTTATTCCATTCATTTTGTGTTAAATAAAGGGACAATTCAGTAATCTCAATATTGGCCTCTCTTTACTGTCATCCATTTGGTCTGTGAGTAATTCTGCGAGTAATTCGTAAAAAAAAAAAAAAAAAAAAAAAAAGATTTCACACTTCATAGGGCTGAGGGTAAAGAAAGGCCAATATTGAGATTATTTAACACTAATTTGACAAAATAAGAAACAGAGTATTAAATTGAGCAAAAATACATAAGTCTAAAACTACATTAGGTCAACAAACTCGTTTAGGACGGATTTGAGAAAAATCACTATAGTATTTTGGGTATTAACTCATGTATGAGTCAAACCCCCGAGCCTAGTTGATAATATAATTATTAGATCAAATTTATATAATTCTTTGAATGTAATGTAATTAAATTTAGAGTAATCAACATTACTATGGAGGGGGTAATGTTTAACATGAAATCGAGTACAAATAAATTAAAAGTGTCAAGAGTAGTTTTGGAAGATCTGTATGTATGGTCTTTTAGGGTTTTGATCAGTTGTGTGTATACCAACAAATTAAAGTGGCATTTTGATTGAGAATTAGAACATGTTCATTACAACTTTGAAGTCTATTTCTAATTAAGTAAAGTGTTATTTGTACTAAATTTTAATTTATACCTTTAACATAATTAAAATAAATGTCATAATTCCTTTTTTTTTTGTATGAATTAATTAAATGAAATAACAGCCCCAAGGTATTGGTTTAGTAGATGATTTTTTTATTTTATTTTTTTAAAAAAAAATGGTCTAGTAGATGATAAGTTTCATTTAGTACTTGCTTCCAATAATAAGGTGAGTGTTTGATCCTTGCTACTATGCTCCTTGTGCACAGAAGATATAGTCCAACAAACCTAGAAAACCACTTCAAATAATAGATTGTGTGTATTCGTGTGATTCTCATGTTCTTACCTAAGGATTAGTTCGATCTCATTTGATCACTAATATATATATATATATATATATATATATATATATATATATATATATATATATATATATATAAAACTCTTTTTGACATGTGTTAATTTGTGGAGTGTTCTAGAACCAAGTTGAGAGTAACTAGAAAGAGACAATTTTATGTACAAAATAAATAAATAAAGAGCACCTATTATACTTTATTATATTAAATTATTGTACCTATAATTAGGTAGAAAGCCAATTTGCAAAGTAAAAAAGTTAAAACCCTTGTTTTACGGAGTAAGATATATATATGGAAGAGATAAAATTAATACTTTTTAAAGTCCTGCAATTATTGTTACTTCAATTTTTAATTTTCGATTATAAATTTGATTATATATTTATATTTAGTTCTTTGAATTGTTAAAATTAATCAATTAAACCTAGAATAATGCTACCGATTTTTCTCCTAATGTTCACTTTCTGATGTGACAATAAAATTCTTATAGATTGATCAATCCTACTATACGCGGTATTAAAAATGAATGTATTTATCAATCAAATATAAAAGAAATCAATGAAATATATTGTCATGTAAAGAGGTAAAATTTAGAATGTGAAATTAAGAGAAAAATATAACGTTACTTTTAAACCTAGTTCCAAAAATGAATTGTCATTATGGTCAATGGAAGTAGAATTATACATGCTTTACCCAAAAAAAAAAAAAAAAAAAAAAAAAAAAGGAATTTGTATGTTTTTCAAAAGATATATAGAGTTTGGATGAATGATATATCTTGAATTGTATGTATTTCTTACAATATATACTACTAGATGCACATAAAACTTATACAAATGTAAACATATTTTTGTGATTTTATTAAATTAATATATATGTTATAATGTTGATTAATCACTACTGCATAAATAACATATAACGTCGGATCTATAACGTCAATTTTTTATATAATCGATGTTAAAAGGTTAAATAAATTTATACATATTTAAAAAACTATTTAACGTTGGTTTTTTATTAGGACGTATGCAGTTTGTTTGTTGATAATGTGCACAAAACTAATTGATGCATGGAGACACTATTTGAGTCTCCAGTTTCCTGGTTGTAGGTAGTAATTTTTATTTTTTTTTAATAACATACACATCGTTTTTTTTTTTTTTTTTTTTTTTTTTACAAAACCACCGACGTGATATGTTAATTTTTTAAAAATTAAATACATAAGACGTCAGTTATTTCTATAACCGATGTCGTATTTATTTAATTTTAAAAAAAAATTAACATATCACCACAAAAAACTGGCGTGGTATGTTATTAAAAAAAATAAAAACTAAATACAACGTTGATTATGTATTAATAACCGACATTGTAAGTTATATATATATATATATATATATATATATATATATATATATATATATATATATATACACGACGTCGGTTATTTTATAACTGACGTCGTATAGTTTGTTTATAACATGTATATATCAGAACAACGTCGGTTTTTAACTAACGTTGTAGGTCTCAAATAGCCAACGTTAAAAGTGTTTTGTGTATTAGTGAATAAACGAGTATATCGGGGATTATATTGGCATATGTGTACAACTATTGGGCGGCGATTCGAAAAGTCAAGTCTATCATCTTACCATCAAAGTGTGACGCTAACTGCTGCGCAAGTATAAGAAAATAAAGGTATAGCTTCATTACTAGTTATAATTTTTGGTGTAATGGTAATCATTTGATCCTGAGATCAAAATTGGTATCAATAATCATTTTTATTTAATATTTCTGAGAATTCAAAAAATAAAATCGCATGTTGGAGACTGGAAAGACAACTCCTGGCCTACAGTACTGCCTGAAAACGACAACTAATCTTATACTTTGCAATATTATTTTTGTAATATATTTATTTAATTTATTGATTTATTTTATGTTTCCTTTTATTATTCATATAATTTTCGTAAGAAAAGTATAGGGTTTGGTACGTACTTTTCCCCCCTTATTAAATTGACAAATTGTTTGGCACCAACTTGGAAATGGTCAGTAAAATTGTGGTTGACCTACTTCAATAATCCCTTGTTGTTTTCCTCATTGTGGAAGAACTAGGATGACAAGGATGGGATATATGAAAATGATTTAGTCATTTAAAACTCTCATTAATCTCTCCAAAACTTCTTGGTGTTATCCACAATATATAATATCATTTAGAAAATTAATTCAACATTATTTGTTGTGATAAAGATAAAGCTAAGAAAAAACAAAAAACAAAAAACAATTGTTGATGGTGTTGAAGATGACATTTGAATTCAACTAAAGCTAAGTCAATCACCTTTCTTAGCTGGAAGCTAGCAAGGACAATAATGGAGCCTCTCTTTTTCTTCCACATAAAATTTGAATCAATGTGAGTTTGATTTTTTTTTTTTCTGGGTCACGAAAGAAATCCGCAACCACTATCCAAGAATATAATGCGTATTGAATGAAGGACCATTGAAAAATTTAATAGGCTGCCTCAGTTGGAAGTTGAACTTGTAACCTTGTGATTACTACGTTAACTATCTGACCAACTTGGGGGTTTGAGTTGTCCTTGATTTTGATTAATTTTTAATAATAGGGTTGGCCTAGATAATAAATATAAAAGGTACGTTGTGATACCTCACTTAATTAGCTAGCCCACCTAAAATGTGAGGATTAATTACTAGTTGATAAGTAAAACTCTCTATTTAAACATATTACAAGATGCTAGTTAGACTCGCCTCTCTAAACAAACTCCCAATAGTTAACTACTAATTTTAATTGAATTGTTGGGTGTAATTGGTTCGTAGTCTGAGAGTTGAAGTTCATGACGTACGGGAGGCGGCAATGTAACTTATGTGAGGTTCGGATCTACTGGAAATATGTATGGGAAAAATGATAGTTATGAGTGTCACACATTTTTATATGCATTGAGCGCATATATAAATCAGTCGAGTATATTATGATTTAATCATGCAAAATAAATTCACAAATTTTACAAAAAGAAAAATAAAATAAAGAAATGAAATATTTAGACAAAATGCACTATCAGTGCAAGAATAGGGTCGGAATCAAATTGACAATGGTCCACATATTATTTTCTTATGTTTCATAGTATACCC